CCTCTGTTTTATGCCAAATTTGAATATTTAAAACATATTTAAATAAAATAATAATTAATATTTATAAAAGTATTATATTAATTCATAAAGTGATAAGGGGGTTTGACTTTATGATTTGATGTGATCCCCCATTTCCCATGAAAATCCCAGTAAAACACAAAATAACCATAGATAAAAAGGCTTTGTCCACCAGTACTCCAAGCAAGTGTCAAGTCACTCCTTATCCTCTCTATTTAGAAACGTGAACTACACTTCCCATATCCCACTTCTCATATCCATATTCTGTGAACTCCAAAGTGTGCTCTCAAACTTATTCAAGCTTCAACTCATATTCCTTCAAAGCAATTCCTAGATTCTAGTAAGTATCTCATTTTCTTGACTAGTGATTCTCCACATTATGATGTAAATTTCATTATATTTACACATAAAAATTATGGGTACATATTCTTAGGATATTCTAAAGTTCAAGAATTATCAAACCCTTCAAGTGTTAGAACTTGGAAACTCATGAACACCTCTTCAAATCATCCAACAAGCTAAACCAAGGTGAGCTTCATACCCCTACTTTTTCGAGTTTTTATTGTTTTTGGGGTAGGATACAAGTCAAAACCTTGTTTTAAACCTTGATTTATTTGCTTGTTATGCTTGTATGCTAAATTATATGTGCTAAGGTTATGAAAACTCTAAGAACTCGAAATCTTGGGCAAGTCTCAAGAGTTTGAACCATATTTCACAAATTATACAAAGAAACAAGAACTGGTATGTTACAAGATATAAGTTACAAGCTTCTATGACAAAAACCATAAGTATTTACGTCAAAAAATTGCTTAAACAAGTATTTTGGAGGAAATGGACCACTTTCAATAATTCACATAGCTTTGAGCCACCTTTTGACAAATATGAGTCTTATTTGATATATTATAAAATGAAGGACCATTTTGCCAACATCAAGAATATTGGGTCATTTTTGACAAGCTTGATTTAAAAAGGAATATTTTCTATAAACGAAAACGAAATATCTAGTCAACGAATACACTAATGTTATTGTGTAGTAAATAACGAATTACAACGATATTTGCACAAACATCTGTTAGTATTCTAGTCAGACGCATCTTCACAGTATATATATATATATATATATATATATATATATATATATATATAATAGTGTACGCTTAAAGTCCTGTAAGAGTTATAACCAGAGTCTCCTAGAGGGGGAGCGGGAATTTGTATATTGATCTATACGGGGTTGACAACCCGCACCTTCGTTGTTCGCTACAGCTAGACCGGCCAGTCTAGGGTGACAAATGTCTTAAACGAAACCGAAGCCTGAAGAACGTCAGAATAGACACTCTGTCATATTAGTATGGTTATAACGACTCACTTAGAATATAACACTTATTATTTAGAAGTTTACGCAAGTTACACCTTTCGATTATAAACAACTATTGTTTGGATAAGTTAAACGAAGCTTTTGCCACACAAAGTCTTAGGGTTTCAAGACTACAACACAAAGTCTTAGGGTTTCAAGACTACTATTTTATACATCAGAAGATATAGGATTTTCTGGGGAAAACGATTTTATACGAATTCGAAAACGATAAACTAAGACACACATGCAACTGTACTCGACTGGAAACAAGACTTACAACTATTTTGATAAGAAAATATGGGATTTTCTGTTTTTCTAACTATCACAGATTTTTATACAAAATGCTTATGAACTCACCAACATATTTTATGTTGACGCTTTTCAAACGACTTGTATTCTCAGGAATTCAGTAAGTAGGTAGTGGGATGCGGATTCAAGTTTATTTTGATGTAGTTTGAAATGTACTCAATGTTGTCTCTTTTGTGTAATTCAAGAACATAAACATGATGTAAAACAATGTAAGTTTGTTATCTCAATGTATGATGTTTGGATTTGCTATGTTTCATTTATATTTAATTGTTATGAGACTGCACAATGACGTCACCCGCCTCCAGGCGTTTCCGACGTTCCGGTCTGGGGGTGTGACACTCTAGGACATCGAAGACTTATCTTGATCTTTATGGAATCATGTAAACATGTAAATATCTAGATATATTATTCTAGAATAGCCTTTTATAAAGAAAGAAGTAGTAGCATCTAGAATATTCCGATGAGGAGGTGTAATGACCCTATAAATAGGGGTGTAGCCATTTTTTCCAAGATCATCGGAAGTTGTCTTGTATTCCAAGATCATCGAAAGAGGGACTAGTCGATAGACGCCTTGGCAAGCTTAGAAAACAAGCTTATAAGGGTAGAAATGAACGTCGGTGAGGTCCTTGAATGGAAGGATACCGTCGAGCAATCCATTGGTGATATTAACGATACATGTGATGGAATGAAGGAGTCCATCAATATCATCAAGGAAGATGTCCCTGGATTGATCAACACCTTGTGAAACGAGTTACGCAAGAAGATAGGTGCTTTGGAAGCTGAAGTAAATTTATGCAAGGCGAGTATTACTGGAGGAGCTATTGTGAAAGCCACACCACACATGGAAGCACCCAAACCAGTGAAGTATGGAGGTAGGTGTGATCCTAAACAACTCGATGATTTTTCTGGTCCCTAGAGTGCTATTTCAATGCTATCAGAGTAAAGGGTGACAAGTCTAAGATAAACACAACCGTCCTTTAGTTATGTGAAAATGCTGCTCTATAGTAGAGGCAGAAGAATGGGGGAATTGAAAAAGGTCTTTACGTAATAGATACATGGGAAAATTTTAAGAGGAAACTCAAGAAGAAATTTTGTCCTCAAAATGCTGAAGATGTAGCCATGAAGAAACTTTGAGGACTCAAGCATGTCGGGTCAATTAAAGACTATGTAGTAGAATTCACCTATTTGATGCTCGAACTACCCGACCTACAGGAAAAGGATAAGTTGTTTTACTTCCAAGACAGGCTATAATCTTGGGCTTACAATGAGATCAAGAGGAGGAATGTGCAAGATGCCGACGAAGCAATAGCTATGGCAGAAGACCTTATGGACTTTCGAAGAAATGCTTCGGTAAGAAGGACGAGTGGTGGAGATAAACCCACACCACGACCGCCACAAAGGGAAGATAGACCCGTAGCTAGGGCTGTAAACGAACCGAACGAACACGAACGGGGCTTGTTCATGTTCGTTTGTTTAAGTTAGCCGAACAAATAAACGAACACGAACGAGTTTCCTTGTTCATGTTCGTTTGCTTAACAAATTACATTGTTCATGTTCGTTCGTTTATGTTCGTGAACATGCTAAACGATCATAAACAAACGAACATAAATGAACAAAGATAAAAAAAAAACATAATTGAAGATATATGAACATAAATGAACATATAATACACTAATGTAATCAAACACAATCAAACATATGTGAACATAAAATGAACTTATATGAACGAACGTAAACGAAAAACATAAACGAACGTTCATGAACCTAATTGAACGAACGAGACCATTGTTCATGTTCGTTCGTTTAACTAAACGAACGATAATTTGTGTTCATGTTCATTCGTTTATTAAATAAACGAACATAAACGAACTTCCCGCCGAACGGTTCACGAACAGTTCGTTGAACGTTCAGTTCGTTTACAACCCTACCCGTAGCCAAACCCTCAACTTTCAAAGGAAAGGGGGTTGAATCAGGACCCTAAAAGGAGGTGAAGTGTTATCTATGTGACAGACCCCATTTAATCAGGGACTATCCAAAGAAGAAAAGCGTCAACACCATGGTATTTGAAGATGACAATGAAGAAGTCGAGTTAAGCTCAATGCGACTTCTCAACTCCGTGGCTAAAAAAGAAACTAAGACATGAAAAGGAAACAAGAAAAAGGGACGTGGTCTAATGTTCGTCAATGCCAAGCTGAACGAAGAACATGTTAAAACCCTGATCGACACAGGCACGTCTCATAACTTCCTATCTGAAAACAAGGCCACGAAGATGAATATTCAATATACAAAAGAGATAGGCTGGTTGAAAGCACTAAACTCTCCGTCCGAACCTATACTTGGAGTTTCTCATGGAATTCCGATCGAGTTTGGAGGATGGAAAGGCACGGTCCACTTAACAATAGTGCCCATGGATGATCATCGACTAGTGCTAGGAATGGAATTCCTAGACGAGGTACGCCCTTTCTCGTTAAAAGAACAAACCATGCGTATAACTAAGGGTTCGGCAATACATATTATACATGTAGAAAGGAACAAGACAGAGTCTCGAACCCTATCAGCCATTGAACTTAATAAGGGATTCCGAAAAGGTGAAATGACTTTCTTGGTGACACTCAAAGAGAACGAGCACACGCCCCAAACAGTAGTACCCACAGAGATAAAAAAATATGCTTGAAGAGTTGATAGATGTGATCATGAGATCATGAGATCTACCTCCTAGGCGAGAGGTAGATCATGAGATAGAATTGGAATCGGGAGCAAGACCACCAGCCATTGGGCCTTATCGAATGGAACCTTCTGAGTTGGAAGAACTTAAGAAACAATTGAAAGAGTTACTAGACGCCAGATTCACAAGGCCTTCAAAGGCCCCATTTGGAGCACTGGTGTTGTTCTAAAAGAAGAATGACGATAGCTTGAGAATGTGCATCGACTACCGATCATTAAACAAAGTAATGGTGAAAAACAAGTGCCCATTCCTTTAATGGTAGATCTTTTCGACCGACTAGTAAAGACATGCTCTTTCTCGAAGCTAAACCTGAGATCCGGATATTGTCAAGTACTTATCGTGACAGGCGATGAACCAAAGACGACATGCATAAGAAGGTACATATTGTTCGAGTTCTTAGTAATTCCCTTTGGATTAACCAACGTACTTGCCACATTTTGCACCTTAATGAATAAGATCTTTCATCCATTCTTGGATAAATTCGTTGTGGTGTATTTGGACGACATTGTGGTGTACTCAGAGTCGTTGGAAGAGAAAATTGATCACTTACGCTCAGTCTTCAGAGTACTCATGGAAAACAAACTATATGTTAAGATGGAGAAGTGCTCCTTTGCCCAAACTGGGGTATCATTTCTAGGGCATAGGTTTGTTGACGGAAGGATCCATATGGATGAAAGCAAAGTACAAGCCATCGCTAAGTGGGAGTCGCCTAAGAATGTATCCGAGCTACAATCATTCTTAGGCCTAATAAACTACTATCGCAGATTCATCTCAAGGTACTCGTCTAGAGCTACACCACTAACCGACCTTCTAAAAAAGAAAGTAAATTGGGAATGGACCCAGAAGTCTCAAAGAACATTTGATGACTTAAAGAACGCAGTCACGAAATTACCTGTCTTGAAGCTTCCAGACTACTCCAAACCCTTCTTAGTACAAACCGACACATCAGACTTTACGATAAGAGTTTTCTTGATACGAGGAGAGCATCCGGTGGTCTATGAAAGTCGGAAATTTGAATGAGACAGAACAAAGGTATCATGTACATGATAAGGAAATGACAGAAATCATCCATTTTCTTCGGGTATGGAGGCATTATTTGCTTGGGAAGACAGTTCATAATTCAAACTGACAATGTGGCCACCAGTTACTTTCAAAATTAGAGGAAACTCAGTCCCAAGCAAGAACGTTGGCAAGATTTTCTAGCTGAGTTCGATTATGTCATGGAGTACAAACCCGGAAAAGCCAATGTCGTTGCCGACGCTTTAAGTCACAAGGCAGAACTAGCAGCTCTCACCTTGGTGACGTGTAACCTTTTTAATCGAATAAAATAAGGGTTGAGTCACGAACCACTAGCCAAGAACTTGATGGAGATGGTTGGAGAGGGCAAGACACAAAAATTTTGGGTTGAAGGACTCCTACTCACAGTTGGCAACTGCATGTATGTTCCGAAATGGGAGAACTTAAGGCGTGAAGTCCTGAAGGAATGCCACGACTCTAAGTGGGCTGGACATCCGGACACCCATCGTATAAGGGCACTTATAGAACGATCATATTACTGGCCAAGTATGCGAAGCGATGTGGATGCATATGTGACAACTTGTCTTATATGCCAACAAGACAAGGTAGACAAGCAAAGCCGATAGGTCTATTAGAACCACTACCGATTGTCGAACGTCCATGGGAGAGTATATCGATGGACTTCATCTCAGCATTACCTATGTCTGAAGGATGTGGCTCCATATCGGTAATTATAGATCGGTTTTCAAAATATGGAACGTTTACTCCAGCCCCACGAGATTGTACGGCCGAAGAATCCGGACGACTATTCTTCAAGAATGTCGTGAAGTATTTGGGACTCCCACAGAACATTATAAGTGACAGAGATTCGTGCTTTACTAGAAAGTTTTTGAGAGAGTTATTTAAACTCATGGAATCAAATCTCCACTTCTCAAGTAGTTTTCACCCTCAGATCGATGGAGAGGATGAAAGGGTGAATCACTTGCTCAAGATTTACCTAAGACATTTTGTGAGTGCAAACCAGTGAAATTTGGTCAAGTTGATTGATGTGGCCTAATTTTCTTATAACTTACAACTAAGCGAGGCTACAGGAAGGAGTCCTTTTGAACTTGCTATGGGTCAACAACTGTTAACACCACACAGACTAACTAAAGCTACAAAGGATCAAGACCTCCTGCATATAAATTCACAAAAGGGTGGAATGAAGAACTCGACATAGCAAAGTCTTACTTGAGTAAGGCAGCCAAACGAATGAAGAAATGGGCGGATGAAAAAAGGCAGCCAAGAGAGTTCATTATGGAGGACGAAGTAATGGTAAAGCTTTCCCAAAGAATGTTCAAATCTACCCGAAAAGTACATAAAGGCTTAACTCGAAGATACGAGGGGCCTTACAAGATTGTTGAAAAGGCCAGGACACGGTCATACAAACTCGAGTTTCCATCCAACTTGAAGATCCACCCCGTATTCCACGTAAGTCTCCTCAAACAATACAATCGAGACAAGGAGGACCCATCTAGAAGTGAATCACACTGTGCCCCAGTCGCCAATGTCGTCTCGTATGATAAGGAGGTGGATGAAATCTGGCCGACAGAGTGGTTCACAAAAGAGGATCGCCCAACTCGACAGAGTATTATGTACGGTGGAAAGGATCACCTGAGAGCGAGAACAAGATTTATGGAAGTTCCGTGACAAGATCGACGCTTACAGAACTAAAGCTTGATGAGGGCGTCAAGGACTTTGGTGGGGGAGGGTGTCACGGACCGTATCTAGAATTTTCCGAAGTACTCGAGAAGCTGGTGGAGTTTGCTAATTTGACCCAGAAGATCCTAAAGCGTCCTAGAATTATCTAGGACATCAAAGACTTATCTTGATCTTTATGGAATCATGCAAACATGTAAATATCTAGATAGATTATTCTTGAATAACTTCTATAAAGAAAGAAGTAGTAGCATCTAGAATATTCCAATGAGGAGGTGTAATGACCTTATAAATAGGGGTGTAGCCATTTGTTCCAAGATCATCGGAAGTTGTCTTGTATTCTCTTGAGTTCATTTAATAGAAGCTCTCTTTCGTTTGTTGTAACTCTTAACCTTTGTCTATTGCTTTCCAAGTCGTTAGTACACCTTCGTGGAATCGTAGTAAGCCTGACTTAGTAGAAGAAACACTAAGTGGCACACGGTGATCGAGTAGTCCCGTGACATACATCTCTTGATGGCCTTGGTTTTTTTCTATTATTTGCATATTGCGCTCGTGTCCAAGAGGTACACCACTTTGAAAATGTCGGAAGAGATCCTTTTATTTTCTTTGCACTGGATTAAACATAGAGCTGAATTTTTCTTTCCTTAGATTGGAATGTTTGGTATTCTTCTCTGATCTAGGCTTGTAAATTGTAGCTTCTGCATTAACCTTGCTAGTTTTTTTATCAATAAAATTCCATGGTTCTAAAAAGAAAGAAATAATACTATAATATCATTGTTTAGGTTTTAGATAACTTTGTAGAAAATTTGTTGATGTTGTATGAGTCAGGAATTGGAAAGTAGAATTCCATAATAAATATCTTTCTGTTAAAATCCTAGCATGCTATTTAAACCAATGATTTTTCATGATTTACTTCTTACTCAATACCTGTGAAATTAATCTAACATGAGACCATATATAAGAAAAATTAAACAAAACTTCCATCTTGATAGGTATTTTTGTGTTTGACGATAATGATAACTCATTGAATTCATGAGCTATTCGATACTGCCAAAACCTTGGTGAAGGGACGCACTATTTTGGACGACCCTTTGGACAGTAATATGCCTTGTCCTTTTTGTTATGCATGCTATTTTATTTGAATAAAAATTTCAAATTTCAACATATTACAATTTTAGGTAACAAGAGTTAGTTGAAGCAGTTGGACACCTTTTTCATTTCAACCCTCCATAATAGACTTTTTGTCAATTTAACCCTGTTGTTCACACTTCAAAATTGAAAAGGCTGTAGTAGAAAAAGATAGAATAATAGAGAGGTGAATGCCGTTGATACCGGAAATGTTGATTTTTGATGATTGGACACTTCTATTCTCGTGATAAACCTTTTCTTTTATACAACTTTTCTATGGTTTATGACCGAATAAAGTGACTTTATTCGATTTACATTCTAATTTAAATATGTAAAAAAAATCGTATAAAATTTGATGTAATAAGTCAAATAAGTTGGATAAAGTTGTCAAAATTAAGATCTCACAAGTAATCGTTTTATATTTTGAAAGAGGCAAGATCTTAAAAAATTGAACTAGTCTTCAAATTTGCTTGTAAAAGTTTGTTTGTGTAATACCCATTAATGTTGATTAATAATACATTTAGGATGAAATCAATTTTATATTTTTAAGCATTAACCAAAATTCTTGCAAATACAAACCAAAACAATTACGAAGAAAACATTTTATTAAAAAAACAAGATTACCATCATTATGAACATCTAAATGCAGTGGCAGGTTTGGGGTTTCCCGGGGTCCCGAGCCACCACTCGATTTTATGTCGGAGTGTAAAAAAACAAATTCTATTAATCGTGCACCAACAAAAATAATATTTGCAACAACTAATGTAAGGTGCAACTACAACCATAATTTATGCGTCCGCCATTGTCTAAATGCAAAAAAAATCATAAACGGACTAGCATGTACGGTGTGATATTCTAACCTAATTTGAGATAAACGGGTAGAATTCGGATGCTCGATGAGGATTTTAATGACCTGCAAAGCTCAATTTCAAGTTAAATGAGCGAATTTTTGTAGCTCAAATTTTAGCTGAATTAGCACATATGAAAAATTCCTAAAGTTATGAAAAAAGAAAGATTTTATTATAAATTAAATACTAAAAAGAGGAGGACCAAAAAGCCTTTTGCATAACAGTATAAAGAGTAGTGTTGAAAATATGTCTATTCTGAAATGATTGATGGTTCAAGTATCAGGGTGGACAAAATATATATATTAAGGAGTAAGATTATATATAAAGAGTAGTGTTGAAAATTTGTCTATTCTGAAATAATTATTTACTTAAATAAAGATAGATATTAAATGATTTCCATAATTGTATCTATATTAAATGATATCCATAATTATAATTCTTTTTTTTTGTGGAAACTAATTAAATTCGTCATTAATGTTGGCAATCACATTCTTTCATAATGAATTCGCATCTAGGTTTTCATGTATGGGTTCGTGTTTTGTTTATGGACTCACTCACTTAAAATACAACAAAGTTGTATGGAATATGAAGAACGATAGTGTATTCTACTATAATACACTCGCATTCTGTTAGAATATACTCTCATTCTTCTAGAATAAACTATCATTCTACTAGAATACACTTTCGTTCTCTATGTTTTAAGCAACTTTGTTGTATTTTGAGTGAGTGGGTCACGAACCAAAATACGCACCTATAAATAAAAAATTAGATGTGAATTCATTCTGAAAGAATATCATTGCTGATATTAATGACACATTTCTTAGTTTCCATAAAAAATGTATTATAATTATGGATGTCATTTAATATTACATATAATTATGGAAATCATTTAATATCTATCTTTATTTGATTAAATAATAATTTAATTTTTACTGAATTCTTATTGGTGCATTCTAGCACACAATTGATGTGAGAAACATTTGATTCTTACTCTCTCTCTCTCTCTCTCTCTCTCTCTCTCTTTGTGTGTGTATATATATATATATATATATAAAATAATAATAATAATAATAATAATAATAATAATAATAATACACAACATGCTTATGAACAGTAACCGGCTCAACATGTTACTATTCATCAGTTTCTCCTCTGATTTTAAAGCTTTTCAGGTTATCGACTTCTCATATGATTTTCAAGACATCGACTTTTCCTCTGATTTCAAATCTTCTTAATTCATCTCCTTCTCATCTGCTTTTGAACCTTTTTATCTGATTTTCAAGTTGGACCAAATTGCCCCTTTTGCAACGTTTTGCATCCTTGTGAGCC